TTCGGCGATTTGGCAGAATATGAGGAAGGAGATGCTTAGAGTAAGTCCTGCTGGCATGGCATTGTGGTCTAGGTCTGGTCTAAATAGAGCACAACCTGTGTGCATGTACACAACTTCAAGTCACCTGTTGACTTGAATTTCACAGGGATAAGTTTATTACATTGGCATTTTAAGACGAGCATACTTAATTTTGCTTTTTTTGAAATAATATGCAAGCTGGGTAATATTTTGAAATTCACATTTCTCTGAATTTTTCATGGGAATTCACTAATCACATATTACTGGAAAGTGTACACAAAAATATATGTGTCAGTGAAAAATAATGTTTGAAAATGTGTTACATTAGAAAACACGATCACCGAAGATTGTACAGTTATCAGAATTGTGTACAGAAATGCTCATTAGGAGACATGCATATGATTTGCATGTCAACTTTAAACAAAACACAAAAGGGAACAGAGATAACTCAAAACTACAACAACAACAAAATAAATAAGAGGCAGAGAGAAATTAAAACTGATGGATTCATTCAGCCTTACTGGATACTGACTGAGAATCATTAGCAGTAGGTAGGGTGGGTGTGCTTCTTTTTCTGCTTGACTGAATATCTGCATCAAAATACAGTGCTGTTGTGTTTGCTCTTTAGCAGGAGACTCGACACAAATCTCCCACACCACAAGTGGTCTGTTTGCAGGCTGCAGAACATCCGACAGATGTCTGCCAAGTCAATCAGATTTGAAGGGTGAAGGACAAATCCCTTGTAATTTAATTGTGCTGATGCAAAAAAAAGGAGAATTATCTGGATGTTTCAGAGTCCTTTCATTTTAGAAATGAACAGGGAAATAAAGGCAGTGATAAGATGATATAGAGCACTAACTGGGACCACGTCCAAAGCCAGGTGCACAAAACAAAAAGCTGACTCACTCTTCCATGGTGGTGGGATGGCAATCTCAAGGTCTAGCCTGCCAGTGGAGATAACATCATGGCAACCTATTAAAAAAGTAGAATTACATTTCAGTTTGATTTTTAATGAATAATCATCCCCTCTTTAGGATTTTCCAGGAAATGGGAACAATTTCTGGGATGTGTGGGGGTAGCAAGATCTATAGGCTGTGTTGGAAGGGCTGAAGTAGAGTGTTTAGTAAGGAGATTCACAGAGATGTGTTCTTGTTTTTGTAAGGCTATCAGTGCTGGTGAGAAAAACAAGCATGAGCTTAGAGTTGGAGGTTTTGTTTTGTTTTTTGTCAGGAGCAACTTGAGAACCTGCAAATCGCTTCTGGTATGAGACAACTGACCGTCAGCAAGGATGTTGCCCAGAGGACACCCAGATGTTTTGACATTTTATCATCTCTGTGGGTGGCTTCTCTCATGTTCCTACATGTGGAGCTGGAGCTGACAGAGCAAGCTCATCCACGCTCTCTCCAGATTCGAACCTACCCAGATTAGAAGAGTTGGAGGAAATTTCAATTGTCATTGAGCTGAATGCCCTGCAGATTAGTGAAATCCATCACAGCACAACCAATAAATGGCCTCTGCTCCCAAATCTCCAATGAAGGAAACCCAAATATCTTGGGAAATTATTGGTTCTCCTATTGAGTAGTTTGTTGCTATATAATAGAAGGTGCCTACCACATCTAGCTTTCCACAGGGTTCTGTAGAAAAATCAAATAACCATTTTGAAAAATGTATGTAAGCAAGAAACTTTGACCTTTAGTATAAGAAGAAGGCAAACTGGCATTGAAGTAGGACTGTCACCTTTGGTGATGTTCCCTGTCATGCAACACCATGCACCTCTCATTGATAATCTGCCTCCTCCCCATGGTTAACCTGTTCCTCGCTATTCATGGAGAGAAACCACCAATAGTTGCCAATCACACCATTTTCCTGTCACCTACCTGAATCAATGGGGCCATTCTTCTTCTGTACTCACTTGCTAACACTGAAGTGATGGCAGGGGGCAAGATTCTCCTCTTCTCCTCCTACCTCCTCAGCACTATTCTCAAGACCGTAATTTATTTTAGAAGTACTTGTTTTTCATTAACTATACCTGCAATGCAAATTTTATAATTTTTATTATTAAAAATATGGAGCAGTAGAAGTGTGGGAGAGTGGGGTTACAGCCTTACACAGAAGTATGAGTGTGGGACCAATGATCCTGAATTAGAAGAGTTGCGTGATTGGAGAGATGTGTGATAGCAAGGCTGCGTGCAGTGAAGTTAAACAACATGTAAAGATAGTTGACCAAATCTTCTCAAGGGCTCCTTCCAGCAGGCCTATCCTATGCAATTTGCTTGGACTACAGAGTCAATCCTTTCCCATCTCTGAGCTTGACACAATTCATGGGCTTTGAGGAAAATGGTGGGAGGAAAGAAGATACTAAGCAAGATGTCAAGAATTGGAAAGGCTGCAGTCTTTCCCATTTGATGCCCTTCACATTAGCCGTACAGCTTTCACCATCCCCAGCACCATTTTAGTTGGGGATAATGGGAGTTAAAACCAGACAGGCAAGTTAATTACCAGCAGCAAAAGATCACACCAATTGAAAGGTTGGCAGTTCGAAGCCCATGTCGAGGTGAGCACCCAACCTTCAGCCAAGCTCACTGTCCACCTAAGCAGTTCAAAAACAGCTATGATTTGTGAGCAGATAAATTAGGCACCACTTAAGCGGGGAGGTATTTTACGGCACCATAAAAAGGAAATACCAGAAAATGCTGGTGATCAAAGGAAGGAAGAAGTATGTGATCAAGGGCTCTTCATGATGGAGGATGAAGCGACACCACCCCCCTGTGACCAGAATTGAGCACAACCTCCAGGATGCTAAAGTTAGGGAAAACGTCAAGATATACTTCTATCTGTTGTCTGTACTGTCTGTTTAATGGTGTCAAATGTTTGCCGTGTATGTGTTCTGTGATTCACCCTGAGTCCAATTTATATTGAGAGCATCCTGTTGGGGAAGGTTGGGATAGAACCTCCTTTGTTTGGATAGTCCTATTCCTAGATTGAGACTCCTGGCACTAACAATTCAGCAGCCCATAGAGGCAGAGATTAGAGAAGAAATACAACTAGATCCCAACAGTTGCTATGCTTGCTAAAGAATTCTGGGCATTATAGTCCACAGTTCTGCATAGGTGTTTACATTGCCTGTTTTATTCAGTTATTTAGGAATTCAAAATGCAAAGCATTTCAGTTACACAGTGACCGCACTTTGCAGAACTAGTCCCAGGAAAAATTTAAAAAGCTTATTTTTCTATATCTTTTTATCAAGTAATTGCAGCCGCCACCCCTCTTTTCCAAAGGAAGAGTTAAAGATCACAGCAGAAGAAACCAAACATTTTTTTTATTTTAAGAAATGATACCCTTTATTGTTGTCTGTTTGTGAAATGCAGCATAATACATAAAGGTGTTTTCATGCAAGCTTGTGTCTTATATTGAAGGCCAGCTTTCTATGTGCTCTTATCAGCAATCTAGCCCATCGGTCATTATTTCTTGAAGATGTTCTCATGGTCAAAACACCCCTTCAGAAGTATGTTTCATTTTGTGAGTGCATGTTGTAACTGCTGGTTAATACAGATGGAAAATGACATGGAAGGAGAAAGATCCAGTGCCCCCTGCTTCAGAGGAACAACAAACTCACCTTGCGTCCTATTGACATCTCATTGACATTTATATCAATAAGACAATTGGGAATATGGTGACAAAAACAGGGGGAACATTGAATCCCAATTCTATATGATTTGGTATTTGGATCCCTAAAGGGGTGCCTCTCACATCAGGCATCCCTTTAGACATCTTTGGAAGCCATCTCCAGGGGTCCTCATAGTCCAAAGTGAAATGGATGGAGACCAGGAAAATGGCAACAGTGGATGATGGCTAAGGTGTTAGTGAAGAAATGAGTTCACATTGTGTTTTAAAGTGAAAATTAAGGGTTAAAGCTATTTCCAAGTAAGGACCATCACCTAGCTTCTTTCAAAATAAAATATGGGGTGGATTTGCCATCCCATTACAGCAAAAAAAAAACCCCGAAAAACCACTCATTTGTGGGTTTAATTTTGAGGGAGATGGTTATTTACAGATTTCGTTAATATAGTATGTGCAGGAATCTCTACTCCCTTGAATATTGTGCTAGAGGACCTAGAAATGCATTCAGGTTAAAAAAATACAAATTATTAATTCACACGATTTCCACTTTCACAATATTCCTAGAGAATGTGGAGGGCTGACCATAGTAGCAATTGCTGAGGAAAGATGTTTCTTGGTGATGGTGCTCTTGTTTGTGGAAGCCTCCCTTCATGTTGGCTCATCTGGCAGCAAAACTTATGTCTTTAAAGCAATAGGAGATCTTTTAATTTCTCCATGTGGCTTTGACACTTCAGGCTTGTAATCTGAGCAAGGGAGTATAGGAACATCTATCTCCCTGTTATTTTGGAGGAGATACTTGTCCTGCTTAAACTATAGCCCAGCTCTTGCTTTTATTTACGTAGTAAGTATCCCTTATTCAAAATGCATGGAAGCAGAAGAGTTTTGGATTTCAGGTTTTTATTCTTATCTTTGGATTTTGAAATACCTGTATTCATATATCTATGCGCATAATGAAATATCTTGAAGATGAAACTCAATTTTAAATACAAAATTCATTTATGTTTCATATACGCCTTACACATATAGTCTGAAGGTCATTAAAGCAATATTGTTCAATAATTGTGTCCATGAAACGTTTGCGTATATTGAACTATCAGAAAGCAAAGCTGTCACAAACTCAGTCATGCAGGTGGACCATTTCAGATGTTGGAATATTTCCGATTTCAGAATTCCAGATAAGGGATGCTCAAACTGCATTTGTTTGTGTTACTGTGCATTTTCTGGGCTGTTTGGCCATGTTCCAGAAGCATTCTCTCTTGAAGTTTCACCCACATCTACTTGCAGTTTCTCAGGTCGCTCCTGACACGAAAAATAACCCCACATCTAGGGCAGGCATCCTCAGAGGTTGTGAGGTCTGTTTATATATCTGTGGAAGGTCCAGGGTGGGAGAAATAACTCTTGTCTGTTTGAGGCAAGTGTGAATGTTGACCACCTTGATTAACATTTAATGGCCTTGCAACCTCAAAGCTTGGCTGGTTGGGCCTGTGGGAATCCTTTGTTGGATGTGTTAGCTGCCCCTGATTGATTCTTGTCTCGTGTTGCCCTATTTTTTGAGTGCTGCTCTTTATTTAATGTCCTGATCTTAGAGGTTTTTTAAAATACTAGTAGCCAGTATATTTCCTCCTTTCTGTTGAAATTGTCCACATGCTTGTGGATTTCAATGGCTTCTCTGTGTAGCCGGACATGGTAGTTGTTAGAGTGGCCCAGCATTTCTGTGTTCTCAAATAATATGCTGTGTCCAGGTTGGTTCATCACAACCTCCGAGGATGCCTGCTATAGATGTGAGTGAAACATCAGGAGAGAATGTTTCTGGAACATGGCCATACAGCCCAGAAAACTCACAGCAACCCAGTGATTCCAGCCATGAAAGCCTTCGACAACACACTGCATTTGTTTGTTCATTTTTAAAAAATATTTCTATCTCATCCAAGAATCTTCAAAGCAGTACATAATACAATCAATATAAACTTTTTATAATAAAAATAAATAATCTGAACATTTTGAAAAGAATCCTGAAAGTCTATTAAACTATAACACTTAAAACAGAACAGATTAAAAGCTATTAAAATAATTTAGACTTGTAAACATCTATTATGCTTTAAGTTCATGGTGCTCATGTGTATTATAGTTTTATTCCACTTGGGCTGTTTTAATTGCTTGGTTTTTAACATTTTCCTATCATATTGTTGATGACCCCAGAAACACCGGTATCAAGGGTAATGCTATAAATAAACAAGCAAGCAGGCAAACAAACAAACTGCATACAGAAAAGGTGAGGTGTGTTTTCTTATGCTTTCTCCTTGCTCATTTTGTGGGCGAATGTCATCATTTGATATCCTGGCCCATGTGCTTTGATCTAAATTTTGCTGATGCAAGTACCCAACCCAAAAGATGGATGGGTGAATTTTTAAGTTTGTGCAGAAAACCCTACCAGCAATAGAACAAAAGATGCTGAACTGAAACGGGATGACAGTGTGTCTCTCTCCTTGTTTCTCTCTCTCCCGCTCTCCCTCTCAATTTCTCTCTCATTCCTCTTTTAGAATAAGGCACCTTTCACTGTAGAGTCCTGGTACACAGAGAGCTACATCTTGCACCAAAATATTTTACAGCTGATATACTGACCCAACCAGTCCTTGGATTGACTCTGCTAATGGCCTCCATTGAACCGAATGAATACATAACTGGAAGTAACATTCTAGACCAGTGTTTCTCAACCCTCCTAATGCCACAACCTCTTAATACAGTTCCTCATGTTGTGGTGACCCCCAAACATAAAATTATTTTTGTTGCTAATTCATAACTGTAATTTTGTTACTGTTGTAAATTGTAATGTACATATCTAATATGAAGGATGTATTTTCATTCAGTGTACCAAATTGGCACAAACACCTGATATGCCCAAATTTGAATATTGGTGGGGTTGTGGGGGGCGGGATTGATTTTGTCATTTGGGAATTGTAGTTGCTGGGATTTATACTTCAGCTACAATCAAGAGCATTCTGAACTCCACCAATGATAGAATTGGGCCTAACTTCCCACACAGAACTCCCACGTCTTGAAGGGATTCGCTAGTGCGAACCTCCCTCCAGCCTCGCACGCTCTCCCTCACCTGCACATGTGCACCATGCTGCCATGTGCAGAGCACACCTGCTCTCCTCTTCCCACTTGGAGTCTCAGAAACAGCTCTCCCTTTGGCTGAGAGGCCAGCTGAGAGGCCAGCCAATCACAGCAGATGAGAGCTTTTGGTGGAAGGATTCGCTGTATGTTTCCAAAAAGGAAGAGAAGGACAGGCAGAGATCTTCAGTCTTCTCTGCCAAAGAGGTTCCTAAGAGCATCAGAAATATATCTGGCAACCCCTCTGAAACTCCCTTGCTACCCGTCCCAGGGTCCCGGCCCACAGGTTGAGAAACATTGTTCTAGACAATCCTCTTGAGGCCTTGGACGATAACATACTTGGGCACTTTCCATGCCAGCTGAGGAGGATGGAGCTTGTAGTCTCATCATCCAACATATCTGGAGAAGCCATTTGGGCAAGCTCTTCTTAGGAATAGGTGGTCTTCAGAGGCCATCATCAAGACAAATTAGGGTATCTTGTGAGAGTGAGCTCGCTGTACAGAGGCCATTAAAATAAATCTTCCTTTCTTCCTTTTTAAAATGAGACTGGAGGGTTTTGATCCTTGAACTGCCTCTTATCTCCCATGTACAGTATGAACTCTTCACCCTATTAATCATGAAAGAATTACATATGGTAAAGTGCTAATCTAGGGGCCGACATTCAAGGGCTTGCTACTTAGAGCCTTTCCTACTCAATAATTCAGCTGGCTGTTTCTCTTGGTTGCTTCCTGACACAGGCAAAATGATGCCTCCTGCAGTCTCCAGGCAAGAGATGGAGTTCTGTGTTTTTGTATTTCCCCTGACTGCAAAACACAGCTGAAAGTCCGCTGTTTCCCTTAAATTCAAGTATCATTCAAGTATCAGCTGACCCTACCTTGCTCCTTCCCTGAGATGGGTGGGACTACACTCTCCCATTGTCCTAAACCATGTTGGCTGGGAGGGTGGGAATTGTAGTTCAAACATTCTGGAACAAGGCAGTTAGCTTGTCCATTCCTTGAACCTTTGGGCATCATTATGCTTCACTCCAATAACCTTCTTTGTTGGTATGTGAATCCAGACTGGCTTCAAAATGTTGCAAGGGGGTTGGAAAATGAGTCTTTCTGCCACCCCAATAATAAAAGACCAACTTGCAAACCTGGTATCCTGATTCGCCAGACAGTCAGAACATGAACTGCTATTCCTTCACTCCGGAATGAATAGAGCTGACAGGGAAGTTGGCACTTAAATGTTCAATTTCTGAACTCCATTTGCCGAACTCTCTATCACTTTGCATTCTATACTCACCTTGCACACTTTCTGAAAATGGCATCTTTTTTTTCCTATTGGGGTCAGTTTTTAATACTGAAAGGGGAGAAAAAAACCTTTGGTTCACACATTGGGCAAGTCCCACAGGAACCTATGCTGTACTTACAGCTTGTTCGTGACGACACAGCCTACTTTTTCATATGGCGGAAGGTTCTGCTGTTCCTATTTCTTCTGCATGTTAAGCAGGAAAGACAAGGTAGAAAGGAACAAGAGGGAAATATAGTGCTAAAATGATCCACAGGCCCAAGGAAGGACCGGATGCCTATATTTAACAACCTAATGATGGCTGCCAGTGCTGCAGTGGGCCATTTTGAAGTGCAGACATGCATTAATAATTATATCTGCAAAAAGAATCCTCCCGCCTCCCCCCTCCCCCAAAAGAAATGGGCAAGCAGCTATATGGATTCATATACCAACTTGCCAGATCTGGCAGCATTCATAATAATCAGAAATAGGCCTTTTGTAAAGCAAACTGATCTTAATTACCCATTCACACCAATGGTGCCCCTGACATTTTTCATTTTGGCAGAGAATTCCTAACAAGATTGTCTCTGAAAGAATCCACCCACAGCTCAGTATTATCCTGAGAACTGGAAAGCTCCAGGGAAGCCCACAGGTAGTGGCAGATGGTGTCATTGACCCTGTCAATCAAAAAGCCCTGACAATCAGGTCCTGGAAACCCTGGTTCCACTATCTCACTAATTCAGTGCCATATTTTCCCTGTATCTCACATGACAATTCATCACCTTTCCCCCTCTACAGCACAGAATTAGCCTTGTTACACTTGGGAATCACTTCTCTTCTTCTAGGTAGCAAGGCCTGAGGAGTTTTGTGTGTGTGTGTGTGTGTGTGTGTCAGAAGTAACTTGAGAAACTGCAAGTCACTTCTGGTGTGAGAGAATTGGCCATCTGCAAGGACGTTGCCCAGGAGACACCCAGATTTTTTTTAATGTTTTATCATCCTTGTGGGAGGCTTCTCTCATCTCCCCGCATGAGGAGCCGGAGCTGACAGAGGGAGCTCATCTGCGCTCTCCCCAATTTGAACCTTGAGGAGTGAAGGAAAGGATCAAACCACCCAGAGGGCTGCATTTCAGCACAGTAAGAGCATGTGTGCATGTACTTGTGTATGTGCCTATGTGTACACACCTATGTGCATGTCCATCTGTGCTGGGGTAGAGGTGTGTGTGAAGCCTCACTTCTCTTTTTGCCTGTGATAGTCACTTCCAACGTTGAGCATGGGGATGAGAAGTCCCAGCAGCCATCTCTTCCCAAAGACCTCCTCCAGGTTCTTCTTCCAGGGCCGGGCTTGTGTCACCATCCCTTTCCGCACCTGGTACCTGGTTTGCCCTCGCAGGATCAGCAGAATTTGGTGGCAACAGAAGCCAGCACAGGCAAGTCCAATCCCCAGCCAGAGGTAAAGCATGAGGATGACGAACATTTCCAAGCTGAGAAGAGCTCCTGCAGACCCACAACCAATAAAAGGCAGGGGTGGGGGGAGAGAAAAGCAAAGCAAATACATTTTCTTGGATTCATAGGATTTTAGAGTTGATTACAAGGGCCACAATCACATTTCCTTGTGATTGAGTGCTTTGATTTTGTTTTTCTGCATGGGAAGGGATTAGGCTGGATGGCCCTTGTGGTCTCTTCCAACTCTTTGATTCTATGATTCATCCAGGCCAATCAAAACACTGCCAACAGATGGCCATCCAGCTTCTGTTTAAAAACCTCCAAAAAGGAGACTCCAGCATACCCCAAGACAGTATATTCCAGTGCTGAACAGCTATTTCCATCAAGAAGTTCTTCCTGATGTTTAAGTGGAAATTCTTTTCATTGCTCCATGTCCTAATCTCAAGCTCTTGAGCATCCTTTCAAATATTTAAACCTGACTATCATGTCACTTCTTAATAATTGACCAAATGTTAATGTTTAGGAAACACTGCAAACACCAAACACAAAGTAGCTGCATGCAATAACATCCTGCAGAAACTTACTAATAGCGCATGGGGTGCAGTCCCAAAATTAATAAGAACATCAGCTCTGGCCTTGTCTTATTTAACTCCCCCATCTGGCATAAATATGCTCAAGCAAAGCAGATGAATATAGTACTAAATGAGCCATGTTGAATAATCACAGGACTTAAATCAAGGAGAAGTTTCATGAGAACCACCACTCCTCTAAATGTTCTTCCAGCAACAGCATGAATGTCCCTCAGGCAATTCCAACTGCATGACCCCCACAAGGGTCTTCCTCCAGGGGCAAACCAAGAACGGACAACTTGGAAGTCTCAACAGACTCAGAAGCAAAGTTGGTAGATCAAAAGACAACCTGACAAAATGGCCTTACCTAGAAGAATCTTCCACCTTGTATGACTGTGGAGCAGAACAAACAACTCTGCATCTGTATGCTTGCCCACAATGTCCTGCCTCTTGCACAAAGGAAGAACTATTTAAAGCTACAGTCAATGTAGTTGCGGTTGCCCGTTTTTGGTCCAAAGCTATCTAACAGCTTGTCATGCCCTTATTTTATCAGCTTTAGACTTATCTATTTATGCAATGCTTTTGGCATTATTTTTTTTAAAAATCCTTTAATATTGTCTTCCCTCCAACTTATTCAATCTCCCTCATTATTGTGGCCATTTTGACCACACTTAAACACACATGTACTGGTTTTCATTTGTGAAATTTGAACATGCATTTAATCATGTGCATGGCTTGATTATGAGTATGATAGACCATAACTCAGAAGATACCCTGTCCAGCATGGCCATTTCAGGTTCTTGGAGTTGTCATTGAAAAAGCAATTTACTCAAGGTATAATCAAGGGTGGGAAAAATGAGTGGTCCTCCAGATGTTCTGACACTGGAATTCCTATTTTCCTTAGCCAGCAGTACGAACGTTGAGGAATCATGGTGTTTGCCGTAACATCTAGAGCAGTGTTTCTCAATCTGGGGTCGGGACCTCAGAGAGGGGGGTGTCAGAGGAGTCGTCAAAGACCATCAGAAAACACAGTCTTTTCTGTTGGTCATGGAGTTCTGTGTGGAAAGTTTGCCCCAAGTCTATCACTGGTAAGGTTCAGAATGCTCTTTGATTGTAGGTGAACTATAAATCTCAGCAACTACAACTCCCAAATATCAAGGTCTATTTTCCGAAAAATCCACCACTGTTCAAATTTGGGCATATTGAGTTTTTGTGCCAAGTTTGGTCCAGATCCATCATTGTGTGAGTCCAGAGTGCTCTCTGGAGGTAGGTGAACTATAACTCCAAAACTCATGGTTAATGCCCACCAAATCCTTCCAGTATTTTCTGTTGGTCATGGGAGTTGTGTGTGCCAAGATTGGTTTAATTCCATCATTGATGGAATTCAGAATACCTTTTGATTGTAGGTTAACTTTAAATCCCAGCAACTACAACTCTCGAATGACAAAATCAATCCCTCCCCAACCCCACCAGTATTCAAATTAGGGTGTATGGGGTATTTGTGCCAAATTTTGTCCAGGGAATGAAAATGCATCCTGCATATCAGATATTTCTATTATGATCCATAACAGTAGTAAAATTACACTTATGAAGTAGCAACAAAATAATTTTATGGTTGGGGGTCACCACAACAAGAAGAACTGTATTAAGGGGTTAAGGCATCAGGAAGGCTGAGAACCATTGATCTAGAGCAGTGGTTCTCAACCTGTGGGACCCCAGATGTTTTGGTCTTCAACTCCCAAAAATCTTAACATCTGGTAAACTGGCTAGGATTTCCGGGAGTTGTATGCCAAAACACCTGTGGACCCACAGGTTGAGAACCACTGATCTAGAGAAACATATGATTTATCAACATATGTAAAGTTTAGGTAAAGGGTTAGGCAGGTAGTTTAAACTGTATCAAAAGTTTAAACTATATCAAAATAGCATCTTTCCATTACTCTAGATAGATAACAGGAGACACAGGCAACATTCAAACAAAGAACAGACACATTTTGTTTCTGCATTTAGATTCCACAGTCAATTCACACCCGTTCATGCCCATCATATGGACCAGTTCACAATCTGAAATTTCACAAGATCTGGATGGATGCAAAAATGAGCCCATCTGGCAAAAGCAGACCTTCTATAGCTTAGCATCCCTCACATGCATCAGACTATAATACTCATCTATCACAGCCAGAGTGGCCAATGGTACCAGCTAGGGGAGATCACATTTCAGTGCCTCTCTGGAGGACAGGCAGCTGGGGCTGGCTCTCTCAGGCTTCTGCCAAGGCAAACATCCAAGCTGGCAGCTTATTGCTGAACCAGAGAGCCCCTGGTCCCACTCCATATCCTCCTTGCTTTCAGCTGCCTGATCTCTTTGCACATGCAAACAGAACCAGGAGGAGGAGCATAAGCAGCAACCACTGTCTTGATTTGCTCTGATTTCTCCTGTTTATTTGGAGCCCAGGAGAGAGAAACAGTAGAGATATGAGTGAGGATCAGAATGCTGTGCAGGAATCCCCAATATGCCTTCCAGATTTGGACTTGGCACTGTTAAGTTACATCTAATAACTTACTGAAGCCCCCAGAGCAGAGAAACATGTGGTCCCCCAGATGTTGTTGGACTGCAACTGCTGTCAGTTCCTGCCAACACAACCCATCCCAGGGGATTGTGTAAGTGGTACTCAACAACATCTGGAGGGCCATATGCTGCCCACATCTGCTGTAGCAGATACTGAGGGCTTGATTTACAGATACCAGGAGTTATTGCACAGCACAGCAAGCAGATGGAAAATGTACCATATACACAAGGTCTTCTTCATGATTAGATAGCATAAAGAAAGGAAAAAGGTACAGAATTAAGGCCACAACCATACACATGCTTATTAAGGATTATAATTATAATAAAAGCATTACTTTCAGAAGCTAAGTCCTATTAAATCCAGTGGGAAGTACTTCCAGGTACACATCCTTGCACTTTAGATAAGCCAGTTGTTTCTTCACTATTTCCTTCATTAAAATATATGTAATTCCTTGTATTTACTGAATTGGGAGGTCAACTGGACATTTATTTTCTATAGTTTAGTATGTAGCTAATAGTTTCTGCTTCTATAGAAAACAAAAACATTGTACTAGCCAGGAAAAAATGGCCCAATGTAAAGGGAGAAAGGGCTCCTTCACCTGTAAACATTTTCAAAGAAGAAGCCATGTTCATCTCTTGCAGCATTAAAAGGAGAATGGAAGAGGGGGGAAGACAAATGGAATGTAGCTGCACTTTTTAAACTACCTGATTTTTATTTTAGCATGAGCTGTCATGGATATGGATTTTTCAGATGCAAAATCGCATAATAACTAAATGCACCTTTAATTGTGACATACTTGTTGAAAGGAGCCCCCAGTGGCACAGCGGGTTAAACCACTGAGTTGCTGAACTTGCTGACAGAAATGTTGATGGTTCAAATCTGGGGAGCAGTGTGAGCTCCCACTGTTAGCCCCAGCTTCTGCCAACCTAGCAGTCCGAAAACATGCAAATGTGAGTAGATCAAAAGGCACTGCTTTTGCAGAAAGGTAACGGCGCTCCATGCAGTCATGCAGGCCACATAATCTTGGAGTTGTCTATGGAAAACGCCAGTTCTTCAGGTTAGAAATTGAGATGAGCACTACCCCCAGAATTGGACACAACTAGACTTAATATCAAGGGGAAACCTTTACCTACTTGTTGAAAATCATTCTTCTGCACAGCTCTTCAAGAGGCAGAATCCCTGATCTCCTTTGCATTGCGGCATTCTATGAAGAGCTTTCATAAGACAGTCTCTGGTCCTTTGCTGCAAGAGCTGTCCAGTCCAAGTCCAGTTTAAAGATGAAGCAACAAGGATGAAGTAGCTTAGAAGACTGGTGGTCACCATGGTGTTTAAATGGTTTAAATGTTGGACTAAGTCCCTCAAAACCAGGGTTTAAATTTCCACTTTGCCATGGAAACCTACTGGGTGAACTTGTCCAAGTTCCACTCCCTAAGTCTAAGAGAACAAAGGCAGACCCACTGAACAAATTGTGCCAAGAAAATTCCACGCCTAAGGTTGCTACAAGCTGGAAATGACATGAATGTTCACAATAATAGCACTAATAAGGAAGAGCAGGCAAACACATTGAAGTTGTCCACCAACAGGTAGCACCTGGGCAACGAACTGTGAAAGCAGACATGTATTTTCATGCTAGCCTTTCCCAATTATAGAATGAGGCTAGTCGCAGCTGATGGCTCTAACATGAATGGGGCAGTGAATCCACTCCGAGTTGTTACAGGAACTTTTAAGAAGGCAACTAAGGTACTGAAACTATTTGGGAAGGTAGAGTTCAGCACAGCAGTTTGTTCCTTTAAAATCCATACTAAACCCAAGAGTGGATTCAGCAGTCCACTGGCATCAGAAGAGCCACCAGCCAACAATGAATGATATATATATAATTTTGCTTCAATGGTGCCTGTATTTTTAAATGGCACAT